AGGATTAGTTTAAAGACTGTTTACCAGAGTGTTTCTGAGGATTAGTTTGAAGACTGTTTACCAGAGGATTAGTTTGAAGATGTTTACCAGTGTTTCTGAAGATTGCTTTAAAGGCTATTTACAAGAATGTTTCTGAGGATTTGTTTGAAGACCGCTCTAAAACAAACTACAACAAAATGGTATCTTCTTACTAATCCCCCCTCCCGTTATGTGGCTTCGTGCTTAACTAGAAACAAACAAACTTACAGAGTTTCCGTCATTGTTAGTATTAAAAATACATAATATCTGGAAAACGATATACAATATTTACTTGAACAAATATCACAACACCAGCTTAAGGAATTGTGGGAACATAACCGTAATACCACGAGGCATTGACGTCATTCATCAGACTTATCAGATACTTTTTTTCTTTTTCTCTTACGTAGAAAACGCGTGTCACAGTATATTTACTTGAACAAATATCACAACACCAGCTTAAGGAATTGTGGGAACATAACCGTAATACCACGAGGCATTGACGTCATTCATCAGACTTATCAGATACTTTTTTTTCTTTTTCTCTTACGTAGAAAACGCGTGTCACAGTACAAGATACGTTTGGGTCAAATAAATGTAAAAGAAGGAAGATTACGTAGTGTGGATGCTGTAAAAGTCCACGAGGGTTTTAGACCAAGGCAGTATTACAACGACATCGCTCTGTTGCGTCTCAAGAACAGTGTAACATTCTCCGATGCCGTGGCTCCTGTTTGTTTGCCAGATCCTACTCTAGCTCGACAGAACTTGACCGGAATTCTTACAACGTTGCTCGGTTATGGAGATCTTTATTTCGGTAAACATTCAATTATTTGTCGTCTACTCGTAAGGTTGATAATTGTACCCGGAAATTATAAATATTATTTATATTTACCAATTAGAGAAAACAACAAACAGCCTTTCTTTTGTTGAAATATTTCTAATTCATTTGTTCATATAATTGTGTATTAATGAGGAAAATAAGGAAAATAGTTTCTATCTGATTGTAATATTTCGTGGTTAACTTAAATGATTTTTTGATAAACTTTTTTTTCTTTTGATTTTATGCAAAGATTTCAGTTTGACAAAGATCAATGAAGGTATCAAGAGTCCATAGTTTTCTTTCGTGTTGTCTCGGCTCCAGTTATTTTAAAAAAAATAATGTGTAGAGTCAGATGTGGTGTCGTCAACAGTACCGGTGTTTATAAAGGGTGGGGTTAGTGGTAACTGTTTGATTGGCTGTTTCGTTCCCGGTGTCGGTGGGTTTTGTATCAACAGTAGTTTTAGTACAAAATGTGATTTCTGGCGGTAGAGTTTGGAAAAACCTTTCAACATCATCTTTAAGAGTATATTCATCAGTTTAAGTTCGATAAGGCTTAAAATTTAGTCATTTAGTGAGGTCCTTTTGTGAGGTTCTGGTTATGATAATACCAAGTTTATGGTTTCTCAAAGTTGAGGTCCTTTTGTGAGGTTCTGGTTATGATAATACCAAGTTTATGGTTTCTCAAAGTTGAGGTCCTTTTGTGAGGTTCTGGTTATGATAATACCAAGTTTATGGTTTTTCAAAGTTGAGGTCCTTTTGCGAGTTTGTGGTTATGATAATACCAAGTTTATGGTTTCTCAAAGTTGAGGTCTTTTTGTGAGGTTCTGGTTATGGTAATACCAAGTTTATGGTTTCTCAAAGTTGAGGTCTTTTTGTGAGGTTCTGGTTATGATAATACCAAGTTTATGGTTTCTAAAAGTTGAGGTCCTTTTGTGAGGGTATTAAAACCCGAGTTTCAGCGTCGAGCCACTGGAGGCGGGCGGGAACGATAACAAATCTTAGTAGTTCACTGTTCTACCACTAGGCTTATTATTACACTAAGCGAAAATGTGAAACTGACAGAGAATGTGATTAGTATAACTTTTCTATTTCCAGTAACACAGGTTCGTGTAATGTATTTATCTCTATAGGTTCTCAGCACGGTTTTGTTTACAGAATATATACTCATGAACAGATACAGGGACGTGACTTGGTCGGTACTAATTGTTTGAAATTAAGCACTAAGCTACACAGTTATCTGTGCTCTGCCCACCACGGGTATCGAAACCCGGTTTCTAACGTTTTAAGTCCGCAGACATACTGCTGTGCCACTGGGGGCGGGTACTAATTGGAACTTGGTGTCGTTGTACTTTCTTTGTTTTTCTCTAAATGGAGTGCTGCTTCTTTATTGGTTAGCCGTTACCGAGTTTTGTTACTTTTTGCATTTCATGGCAGAACAATATAAATGGCAGACCCGGTGGTAATGGCGCTTAATTCGAAATCTGTAAATCACGGGTTCGAATCCCATAATCTAACATTTTCGCTCTATCAGCCGTGAGGCGTTGTAAAGTGACGGTTAATCCCACCATTAGTGCAGATATCCCTCGAGTGGTTTTGCTAGAAATTCAACAAACACATTAATTTGAATGGTACATGAAGAGGTACTTTCAACTTTCAGAGAACTGGACTGTGAGGTCAAGTCGTGACAAAAGTGAAGTACTTGTAGTTCACCACTGGATCGCATTAGTAGTTCACCACTGGATCGAATTAGTAGTTCACCACTGGATCACAGTAGTTCACCACTGGATCACATTAGTAGTTCACCACTGGATTACATTAGTAGTTCACCACTGGATCACATTAGTAGTTCACCACTTGATCACATTAGTAGTTCACCACTGGATTACATTAGTAGTTCACATCTGGATCACATTAGTTCACCACTGGATCACATTAGTAGTTCACCACTGGATTACATTAGTAGTTCACAACTTGATCACATTAGTAGTTCACCACTGGATTACATTAGTAGTTCACAACTTGATCACATTAGTAGTTCACCACTGGATTACATTAGTAGTTCACCACTTGATTGCATTAGAAGTTCACAACTTGATCACATTAGTAGTTCACCACTGGATTACATTAGTAGTTCACCACTGGATCACATTAGTAGTTCACCACTGGATAACATTAGTAGTTCACCACTGGATTACATTAGTAGTTCACCACTGGATCACATTAGTAGTTCACCACTGGATCACAGTAGTTC